GATAGGACTTGCTTCCCAACAGCCTACACTTTCTAGTGAGGACAAGTGCTCATGGAAAGAAAAAGAAGGAAGAGGATTTCCACAGGAGTTGCTGAGAACCGTGGACAACTAACACCTGGGAACAACTGGGGGCAGAGTTAGGAAGCCCAGCTCCAGCTTGGGGGGGAAATGGGCTTGAGGCCAGTAGCAGTTGGCAGGCAAAGAGGGCCCAGAGCCACCAAACCCCGGACAGGACTCAGAACTGGCCCAAAGCTGGGATGGAGGGAGGGTGTCGCTTTGAAAGGTCTATTCTCTTAATCCCTAGGAAATGTTAGCTTTTTCCTTTTTTTTTTTTTTTTGAGATGGAGTTTCGCTCTTGTTACCCAGGCTGGAGTGCAATGGCGCGATCTCGGCTCACCGCAACCTCCGCCTCCTGGGTTCAGGCAATTCTCCTGCCTCAGCCTCCTGAGTAGCTCGGATTACAGGCATGCGCCACCGTGCCCAGCTAATTTTTTGTATTTTTAGTAGAGACGGGGTTTCACCATGTTGACCAGGATGGTCTTGATCTCTTGCCCTCGTGATCCACCCGCCTCAGCCTCCCAAAGTGCTGGGATTACAGGCTTGAGCCACCGCACCCGGCTTAGCTTTTTCCTAATTATAAGCCCTGCTTATAAAATTCTATCACCATTTCCTTATAACTGTATACAGGTTAAGTGCTTCTCATTTTCCTCTCTTTTTGATTTTGCTCCATTGCTTCCTATTTTTGTTCCACACTTTTTCTCATACTCACATTGCCCTTAGGAGAAGCTCCCTTGCTAAAGTCACCTCTTCAGTCTTTGCGGGGAGGGAAGGCATCCTTGGCTATGATTAATAATGGCCTAGTTTCTAATCATTTTCCTCCTGGACTCAAGTTTTAAGAACTAGGAGCACATCTTAGCTGGCCCTGTTCTAATCTACAGGGCTGAGACTACAAGGCAGGAATTACCACTCACTGAATTTTCCTGCCGTACACAAGTGGTTTTCAGCCATGAAGATGAGATAATCCTCACTGGATCTTTTTAGCACATCCAGAGGAAAAGCATTGTTATTATGAATGGAAGAGAAGGGGTTTTTCTGCTATTGCCACCCAAGGTTTAGCTTGAGTCATTACATACTTCCCAGAAGATTCAGGGGGCTTCCAAGGAAAACCCACGAGCTGGCAAAACATGCTCTCCCTTCAGGAAGAAAGCTATAAATGCCAAGAGTCTCCTCTGTGGCTTCCCACTGTCTCTCTGGCAGGTCTCTGAAGCCCTGGAGGTAGAGAATAGTTTCTGATCAGTTTGAAGGCTGCCTCCATGCTGATGATACATGTGTGATCTTACATACATGTGTGATGGTGGGTGAATCATTAAAGGTCATCGCTGAAGCATTTGAAATGGCAAAAGACTGGAAACAACTTGAAAGCCCATCAATGAGGAAACTAACTAAATAAACGGGTTAATCCATACAATACTTCTTTGAAGCAATAAGAAACAAGGAACTGCTTTATGAACTGCCCAGGAATGCTCCCTGAGACATACTGACAAGTAAAAATAAAGGGAAGCACAGCACAGACAACTTGTAATTTTTTTTTTTTGCATTTGAAAGACGAAAATAAGAACACATATATATTTGAATTTTCTTGTGTACACATAAAGCAACTGAAAAGACAGATTAAAAAGTGAACTCAGGCCAGGTACAGTGGCTCGCACCTATAATCCCAGCACTTTGGGAGGCTGAGGCAGGCGAATCACTTGAGGTCAGGAGTTTGAGACCAGCCTGGCCAACATGGTAAAACCCTGACTCTATTAAAAATACAAAAATTAGCTGAGTGTGGTGGCAGGAGCCTGTAGTTCCAGCTACTCAGGAAGCTGAGGCAGGAGAATTGTTTGAACTTGGGAGGCGAAGGTTTCAGTGAGCTAAGATTGCACCACTGTACTCCAGCCTGGGCAACAGAGCAAAACTCTGTCTCAAAAAAAAAAAAAAAGATCTCAGTTGCTATCTGGGGCAAGTTGAGAAATGGGCAGATGCAGTCAGGTGCTAGAAGTAGACTTTTCACTGTACAACTGATGACAAAATACCAGCTAGCATTAGCAGCTGTCAGTATGTAAAGAAGAGGGGACTGATTTATCAGCTAGTAAAATTCTTAGGTTTTCTTTCCTCTGGAAAAATAGTATGACCCATCTTAAGATATGTCACTGCCCATGTTTACAAATGGCTCTAGAAGTTTCCTAACTTCTGACTGCAGGCCTCCCTCACAGGCACAAGTGACTGTCATAAGATTTCCCCTCCCCAGTGACGTATGTTAAAAGCCTGGGGTATGGCAGGCTGGGCTGCAGGCTGCCAAGTACTCCTTTCCTTCCTGCATGTAGAATCTGAGAAAATGCTTGTTTTAAATTCTGAGTCTGTAGACACTTTTCAAAACAATTTGAATCATGTAACTATTACCTTTTTAGGTTAAAAAAAAAAAAAAGGTAAAAATTAAAACCTTTTTAGGCTGAGCACAGTTGCTCATGCCTGTAATCTTAGCAGATTGTTCAAGGCCAAGAGTTCAAGATCAGCCTAAGTAACATTTTTTTTTCTTTTTTGAGACAGAGTTTTGCTCTTGTTGCCCACGCTGGAGTGCAATGGTACAATCTCTGCTCACTGCAACCTCCACCTCCCGCATTCAAGCGATTGTCCTACCTCAGCCTCCCAAGTAGCTGGGATTACAGGTGCCCGCCACCATGCCCAGCTAATTTTTGTATTTTTAGTAGAGATGGGGTTTCACCATGTTGGCCAGGCTGGTCTTGAACTCCTGACCTCACATGATCTACCCACCTCGGCCTCCCAAAGTGCTGGGATTACAGGCATGAGCCACTGCACCTGGCCATGAACAACATTTCAACACCTCATTTCTGCAAAAATAATAATAACAATAAAAGATAAAAACTTTTTTTTTTTTTTTTTTTTGAGACGGAGTTTCGCTCTTGTTACCCAGCCTGGAGTGCAATGTCGCGATCTCGGCTCACCGCAACCTCCGCCTCCTGGGTTCAGGCAATTCTCCTGTCTCAGCCTCGATAAAAACTTTTTTTAAAAAGTTGGTATAAGACTTGCCACCACAAAAATAGCAAATCCCCAAATCTAGCCCCAGTTACTATCTGGAATTCTAGCCTCTATTTTTTATTAAACCCAGAAGGGAGAATTTCTTGTGTACATAGTGATATACAAATGAACACCTTACTACTACTAAGAATGTTTTACTATGTGAAATACCTATTCTCTCTCTCAATAGTTATTTATGTCAGGAGGTCACCCAGAATGAGAGAGTCACATGGGAAGAAGGGTTAAGATCTCCCTTGGAATGCCATTCTAGCATGGCACTGGGAACTGTGATCCTTTCACATGAAGCAAGTCCTGACTGCAAAACGTTGCCATTAGTCAGTATTAGACTTACTATGAATCATAAAGTGAGACTTCTTTCTCTAGATATTTACAGTCTATCAACTAGAAAACCATCTTAATATAGTTTTTTGTTTGTTTGTTTTGTTTGTGGGTTTTTTTGGAGATGGAGTCTCACTCTTTCACCCAGGCTGGGATGCAGTGGTGCGATCTCGGCTCACTGCAACCTCTGCCTCCTGGGTTCAAACGATTTTCCTGCCTCAGCCTCCCAAGTAGCTGGGACTATAGGTGAGCACCAACACACCCAGCTAAAATTTTTGTATTTTTAGTGGAGACAGCGTTTTGCCCTGTTGGCCAGGCTGATCTCAAACTTTTCACCTCAAGTGATCCACCCGCCTGGGTCTCCCAAAGTGCTGGGATCACAGGCATGAGCCGCTGCATCTAGCCTTAATATACTTACTTTGTTGGACTAAGACACTTTACTATCACCTACAAAAAAATCTTAAAAATAAATATCTAAATTCTTGATGGGATGGCATTCCCTAGGGTTGTGTGATACACACTTGCCCAACTGTACTGAGCGGTCCTGAGTAGGTTGTCCCACGTAGTCAAGCATGCCTCAAGCAGCAGTGTGGGAGTTATGGGCCACAAGTATCACCAATGGGAGTGACACAGCTCTGACATATGTAGTGCTTAGGGTGGCTTGCAGCACCTTCTTAGAGTCAGCCAGTAAGGAGACTCTAATAACTCAAATAACTCTAATTCTGCCCAAATTGATTCAGAGAGTTTATCACCTACACAGATACAAGGTCAACAATGGATCAACTCCCCATGGCCTTAGTTCCATGGGATGACACCAAATCAAAGAGCTTTGCTACCTGGGGCAAGGTGAGAAATGGGCAGGTGAGGTCAGGTGCTGGAAGTAGACTTTTCGCTGTACAGTGATAACAAAACGCCAGCTAGCAGAAATAGATGACAGGCACCATGGGCACTTGGTTCTGCCTTTGAGGAGATGACGCCAACTAAAGCCAAGCAGTTGTACAGCCTGCAGCCCTATCCCTTGTGGGACTGGAGTGGAAAGTCCTATGTTTAACGGCAGTGAGGGAAGGAGGTGAGACACAGTCTTGGCTGCAGCCTCCCTTATGATGGAGGGTGGGTAAGCTGGTCTTGAGGCAGTTCCCCACTAGGTAGCTATCTCCCCGTTTCTGCAGGAATCACAAGACATTCAACCAAGACTTGAGTCAGACTGAGGTGAAGCTTCCCCTAAGTGGCCCATCTGAAGACATCCTTGTCATCAGGGCACCATGATGGAGCCATTTCCTTATGTTGATTAAATATGGCTGAGTTCAGATATTCTTGGTAAACCAATGGGCACAGTGGCTTGGTTTAGAAAGACCAGGAAGGAGGAATTAAAGACCTTGAAGTAGAAAGTATCAACACACTAAGTGTAAGGGACAGCAATTGATTTAGAGAGGGTGGTGCCAGTGTTTGCAGGAATCCTCTGGCTTTCCATGTTGCTCCTTGGTAGGGGTCAGAGAGCAGGTGGCTTTGGCCAGAAGGGGAATAGAAGGCAGACACTAAAACAGCAGCCTAACTCAGCCCTTTCTGCTTGTTCCTTAAAGGTCTTCCACTTTAACACAATGCTAGTGCCTAAAAAAATGAGGCTCCTGCTGTTTCTGGTTTCCCAAATGGCCATCTTTGCTCTATTGTTCTACATGTACAGCCACAACATCAGCTCGCTGTCTGTGAAGGCGCAGCCAAAGCGCATGCACGTGCTGGTTCTGTCTTCCTGGCGCTCCGGCTCTTCTTTTGTGGGGCAGCTTTTTGGGCAACACCCAGATGTCTTCTACCTTATGGAGCCTGCCTGGCACGTGTGGATGACCTTCAGGCAGAGCACCGCCAGAACTCTGCACATGGCAGTGCGGGATCTGATACGGGCCATCTTCTTGTGTGACATGAGCGTCTTTGATGCCTACATGGAACCTGGTCCCCGGAGACAGTCTAGCCTCTTCCAGTGGGAAATCAGCCGGGCCCTGTGTTCCACACCTGCCTGCAACATCTTCCCACGAGATGAAATCATCCCCCAGGCTCACTGCAGGCTCCTGTGCAGTCAACAGCCCTTCGAGGTGGTGGAGAAGGCCTGCCGCTCCTACAGCCACGTGGTGCTCAAGGAGGTACGCTTCTTCAACCTGCAGTCCCTCTACCCGCTGCTGAAAGACCCTTCTCTCAACCTGCACATTGTGCACCTGGTCCGGGACCCCCGGGCCGTGTTCCGTTCCCGAGAACGCACAGAAGGGGATCTCATGATTGACAGTCGCATTGTGATGGGGCAGCACGGGCACACACTCAAGAAGGAGGACCAACCCTACTATGTGATGCAGGTCATCTGCCAAAGCCAGCTGGAGATCTACAAGACCATCCAGTCCTTGCCCAAGGCCCTGCAGGAACGCTACCTGCTCATGCGTTATGAGGACCTGGTCCGAGCCCCTGTGGCCCAGACTTCCCGAATGTATGAATTCGTGGGGTTGGAATTCTTGCCCCACCTCCAGACCTGGGTGCATAATATCACTCGAGGCAAGGGCATGGGTGAGCACGCCTTCCACACAAATGCCAGGAATGCCCTCAATGTCTCCCAGGCTTGGCGCTGGTCTTTGCCTTATGGAAAGGTTTCTCGACTTCAGAAAGTCTGTGGCGATACCATGGATATGCTAGGCTACCGCCACGTTGGATCCGAACGAGAACAGAGAAACCTGTTGTTGGATCTTCTGTCTACCTGGACTGTGCCTGAGCAAATCCGCTAAGAGGGTTGAGGAGGCTTTGTCCCCACCTGGTGTCAGCCTCAGTCACTTTCTCTAATGCTTCTGAGCCTTGCCTACATCTCTGAGCCTTAACTACCTGTCTGTAGGTATCACATTGAGTGTGAGTTTTGCCCACACATGTTCAAGCAGGATTTTTGTGTCCATGCTTGTGTCTAGAAAACAGACTCAGGAACTTTATGTGAGTAGCACCTCCCATCAGTGCAACAGGGTATTGCTCTTCTTCTCTTCTTAATCTTCCTTCTTAATCATCTTCCATTAAGGGTGATACAGTATCAGTGGAATTGATCAAAAACCTCCCTGTCCACATCTTGCCCAATGGGGAATCTTTCACCAAAAACTTCACCAGTGTTTTCCACAGAGACACAAATTCTGAGCCCTCGGAGTTCCCGGTGGATTCAAAAAAGGAAGTGGGGAACAAGGTTGGATGCCTACTTCTGAGCTTGAACATCACAGCTATCAGTTATCATAAATATGAAACAAAATCTCTGCACAACAGAGTAAGCTCTTAAGTTCATGGGGTGCCTGAGCTGCATTTGAATGTCATTTCCCCTCTGCATTTTCCTATCACATAAAAGACTTTGGCTGGTGAAGCTGCCATCTGTTAATACTAAAATTCCAAAATAAGATTCTGTTTGGAATGTCCCTTTTTATGCTTCTTAATTACTAGCAGCGAATATTCATTCTTAGGGGATCCTAACCTAAGAACAGATGTAATCATCTTTATTCATTTTTTAAATACCTTTTCTATCAACCATGTATACAGAAAATTGCTACCATAATGCTTGGTTTCAGATGATGAACTAAGTCTATACCCTGTTAAGAATTGGTGGAAAGTAGACAACCAGCAGCTAAGCCCCTTCTTTCCTGTGTTAGGTATAAGTTGTGATAATGCCATCTTCGTCACCGTAGGGTCTGGGCAGAGAGATCTTTTACTCTGATCCCTCAGCCAGAGGACCTCAGTTCTGGTATGACTGGTGCTGCTTAGCTCCTCCTGGACCCTTCTCCTAATAAGAAAAGTTGTCTCTCTGTCTTGGCAGGAGCCCCCAGATCTAATTTTACAGAAGAATCTCACCTATTAAAAAATGCGAATTGTCAGGCACTACCTCACATCTGCTAGGATCAGAATCCCCCAGTGTGGGGGCTGGAGTTCTGGTGACTCTTCTATGGCTAGCGTGGCACTAGCACACCTTGCACCAGGCAGCAGCACTGCTCACCTTCTTGCTCCAAGAAAGGTGACTCTGCCACAAACACCGGGCATGTATGCCACTTGCTCTTGCCACTGGTGCTGTCCTCGAGTTGGAAAGAATTCTAGCTCCCTATATGTCTGGAATTCCATGGCCCTCTGAGTCCTGACTTTTAAATATCTCACTTTGTCCCAAGTCTGACATCTAGATTGTGTCATTTTCTCTTTTTGTTACCACCTTTTGGCGAGCTTCATAAAGCTTCCTCCATGTCAGATCAGAACTCCCCACTCCATTCTGCCGAGTAGTAATTGAGCTTCTTCTCCACTGCTTGAAATACTTGAGTAGCTACTTTTCCCAGCTGGGTCTGTTGAAGTTAATTTGTATGTGGCTTTAAAGGAGCTCATTTATTCTGATGTCCAAATCTTTAAAAACTCCTAAAGAGGATAGGATCTCCCAGGCAAATGCTTGCCTCTACAAGGCAAATGTTTACTTCCTAAACAAGGTCAGGGTAAAATTTTCCAGCATTGAAAATAAGACCAGAACAGCAGATGATGGTGTGAACAGAGTGAAAAGGACCAGTAAGCGAACAGTGATAGACTCAACCATCTCTGACTTCCCTTCTGAAAGTTGGGCCTCTGTCTGAATTGTTTTAAACTTAGCAACCTCTTTATGAGCCATCCCTATGTGATGCCTGCTTGTCCTTCTCCAAAAAGATCACCCTATTTTGAGAAAAGAAAAGAGACTAGCCACACGAAAAGTCTCGGGGTCTTATTCAAGATCCACTTTAGAACAGTTTTAAATTTCTTACATTCCAAGTCTGAGATATGCAATGAAGTCCAGAATCTAAGAGCCACACCCTTGAAGAAAATAGCTGTGCTCTCTGATAGGATAGCCACTAGCCACCAGTAGCTGTTTAGATTTAAGTTAATTAAAAGTTGATAAATTTTTAGCCTCTCAGTCACACTAGCCACATTTCAAGGACCCAATAGCCACATGTGGCTAGCGGCTACTGTATTGGACAGCACAGATATAATTTCCACCATTGCAAAAGCTTGATTGGACAACTCTGGTCTAAATTCATTTTGATATGTGTGTCATCTAATCCCTAATTGAACCCCATCCCCCTAGGCCAAAAAGTTTAAAGAATATATAATATCATGGCATTTTTATATAGCATAAGGGTGCATAATATAAAATCATGCTGTATAGGCCGGGTGTGATGGCTCATTCCTGTAATCCCAGCACTTTGGGAGGCCAAAGTGGGCATATCACTTGAGGTCAGGAGTTTGAAAGCAGCCTGGCCAACATGGACAAACCATGTCTCTACTAAAAATACAAAAATTAGGCATGGTGGTGCACACCTGTAATCCCAGCTACTCGGGAGGCTGAGGCAGGAGAATTGCTTGAACCCAGGAGGTGGAGGTTGCAGTGAGCCAAGATCGCGCCACTGCACTCCAGCCTGGGTGACAGAGTGAGATTCTATCTCAAGGAAAAAAAAATGCTATATAGCCTTAAAAATCTGACCAACTGTTGAACGAGACTGCAGTGAACAATGGCACAGTCTCTTGTTGAAGTGTTCAGGAGGCTGGCACTGGGATTCAGTGATGAGAGTGGTAGCACTCAATTGTGAGATATGAGAAGTTTGGGGACATGAGAACTGGTGACAGGCATAGAGGATAGTGTTCTGCAAGACATCCTTCCTAATTCAGAGACATCTGTTCTATCCCCAACCCCCAGCAACAGAAAGGTGTTTCTTTCTGCCTCAGCCTGTCTACTTGTATAGGGTCTGTGCATGGGTTTAAGCCTAGATGAGGGGTGAAGGGAATCAAATTTCTCAAAGCTGATTTTCAGGGTTTAGGGAATGAGCCTCTGTCAAGTCTAATGTAACCATAACAACCCGAAATGCCTAACTGCAATACAGCAATAATTTCTTTATAAAATGTCAAACTAGACAACTGCTCCATGTCCTACAGTTTGCAATTGGAAGTCAAGGGATGGAGGTCTCAAAAATTATAAACAACTATCTATACCGTGAGAAAGGAATAGGGTCTTAGGCAAAGGGATATGAACAGTAACTTAACTATGTTTCTATCTATAGTTACTATGTGGCTTCTTTTTCTTTTTCTTTCTTTTTTTTTTTTTTTTTGAGATATAGTCCCACTCTGTCACTCAGGCTGTAGTGCAGTGGTGCAATCTCTGCCCACCGCAACCTCTGCCTCCCAGGTTCAAGCAATTCTCCCTGCCTCAGCCTCCTGAGTAGCTGGGATTACAGGCATCCACCACCATTCCCAGCTAATTTTTGTATTTTTTAGTAGACATGAGTTTTGCCATGTTGGCCAGGCTGGTCTTGAACTCTTGAGACAAGAAAAGAGAGTAGCCACATGGAAGTCTCAGCTGTTTCACTTTAGAACAGCTTTTAATTTCCTACATTCCAAGTCTGAGATCTCTAATGAAGTCCAGAATCCAAGAGCCACACCGTTGAAGAAAATATCTGTGCTCTCTGATGGAGTGGCCACTAGCCACCAGTAGCTGTTTAGATTTAAGTTAAATGAAAATTTAGTCCCTCAGTCACACTGGCCACATTTCAAGGACCCAGTAGCCACATGCGGCTAGCAGCTACTGTATTGGACAGCACAGATATAATTTCCACCATTGCAAAAGTTTGATTGGACAACTCTGGTCTAAATTGGTGATCTGGTGATCTACTCTGGTGATCTGCCCACCTCAGCCTCCCAAAGTGCTGGGATTACAGGCACAAGCCACCACGCCCAGCTGTGGCTTCATTTTCTACAAAATGAGAGCAGTTGCTAAGTTTTTAATGCATTTTCATTAAAACTAAATTTTTCAACTCATGAATAGTGGTTATGGAGAATCAACTTCTGTTCATTTTTGTGCAAAAACCTACCATTGTGTTGTCTGTAGTATGTTTCTAAAAATATCATTTGTAATTTACTATGTGATTTATAACCAAGCTAAATATAAATTAACTTCAATAACTATGTACATGATCATGACATTGAATTACTTTCAGAGACCAACAAGGCAAAATTAAAAACAAATACTATGAGGGACCTAGTCCAGTTAACAATAAACCTCTGATAGGCATTAGCTGAGGATCGATCCCCAGTACATTGCCCCTTCTGTCAAGCGCTATGCCCCACTTCTGGATAAAGGTCCCTGGTCATTCAGAGAAAGGTTTTTTGTTTGTTTGTTTTAATGCAGTGGTGAGAAAAAGTAGAAAAAACCAATAACCAGAGTAAGGAAATTTTTTTTTTTTTTTTTTTTTTTTTTTTTTTTTTTTTTGGGACAGAGTGTCGCTCTTGTTACCCAGGCTGGTGTGCAATGGTGCGATCTCGGCTCACCGCAATCTCCGCCTCCTGGGTTCAAGCAATTCTCCTGCCTCAGCCTCCTGAGTAGCTGAGACTACAGGCATGCGCCACCATGCCCAGCTAATTTTTTGTATTTTTAGTAGAGACGGGGTTTCACCACATTGACCAGGATGGTCTCGAACTCTCGACCTCGTGATCCACCCGCCTCGGCCTCCCAAAGTGCTGGGATTACAGGCTTGAGCCACCGCGCCCGGCTGGAAATTTGAATATAGCACTCAGCTAAGGAGTGTATTCATTTCTTCCACACACTTAATGAGCATCTACTACATGCCTAGGAATGTTGTAGGTGCTGTGGATACAGCAGCAAACACAACAGGCAAAACCACTCCTTTCATACAACAGACATTTTAGTCTGTTGGAGGCAAGAGAACAAAAAGTATATGTCAGATGCTAAGTACTATGAAGAAATATAAGGGGAAGGAGCTGGGCAGCGAGGAGGGTGCTGTTCTACAGAGGCAGTAGGAGACCTCTTCACAGAGAAAGTGAGATGGCAGCAGAAACCCCTTCCAAGTAAGAGAGCTTGCATGCAGGGATCCGGGGGCAGTGTGCCCCAGTAGATGCCAATGTCAATACGGAGAGAATCAATAAGAATCCAGTGAGAACCGATTGTGCGCTTGGTATTGTGCTGCACCCCCTGGAGGATAAGGAAGTACAGCCGTGACAGTAAGATGGAGAGGTGATGCACTCACGAGCACTTGGGTACTGGAATCGTGCTACCTGGGTGATTCTGCTATTACCAGCTAGGTGACCTCAGGTGGGTTCCGCAACAACCCTAATGTCTCAAATCCCTCAAGTATAGAATGGGTGGAATAAGAGCAGGACAACTCCTTGGAGTTGCTAGGAGGGCTAATGAGTGAATGTGTGGAACGTCCTTAGCGAGCACTCACTCAGCGTTAGCTGTGAACATCGTGATTACAGTACTTTCTCCCCGTTGCTGATCTGAACCCCTCTATGGCATCTGATCATACTGAAATGATGAGCTTTATGCTTCCTGATCTTCTAGGTTCTCTACCTCAGTGGTTCTCAATTGGAAGCAATTTTGTCCCACAGGGAACACTTCAGAATGTCTGGAGACTTTTTTTATTTTATGTTATTTTGTTATTTGAGTTGGAGTCTCACTCTGTAACCC